GGGGTTTTGCCGCTCATGATCACATTAGTACTTGACACTCACTATTGGTGGACTTCAGTAAGCATAAGAACCAAGTTTTGCATTTTGGTCAAAACTCTTGTCTGCTGTTGAGTCACAAAAGCAGGATATCTGGTCTCCATGTTGTTTTGGTGGTTCTGTCCAGTCGACTGATTATGTCAACAATTTAGCTTAGTAGTTTAGCTGAGCAAGTTGTTTATGTGGCATGAGAGCCAGCTAATACGGATCAGCAACTTTTATTGTATGTGTTGTACAATGCAAAGTTAACATGTGACCCATTTTACTTTTACCTGTCGAAATGTTACTATGAAATTTGTAGTCAATAAGTCCATTTCCAATATATAATCTACACAACACAAATGAGAAGTGACATAATGTGCAAGCTATTGTAAAATATGTTTTAGAAAATGTCTTAGAAAATAATAACCTGCTTTGTTGGTGACAAATGTGCATTTTGTTTCTATTTCTATACATTTCTATAAGGTCATTGCCCATATGTCTACATGTTTGTGTCATTAAATTGACATAGATATGAAGGTTAGAAATGGAATATTCCCTGTCTAATATTAGCACCTGCTGCTTGCCTCTGAGCCCCCGAAAAAGAACGGATGTATAGGATGTGTAGGATGTATGAAAGAGTGCAGGACTGATAGCTAACAAGGAATCAGAATGAGAAAACACCCATTGATATACACATATGATTGTGAGCTAAAGTAGTTAATTTATTTAACTGTATAAACATACTTTACTGCTATGAATTAACTTTTAGTAAAAAAAAATTTTTTACCTAAAGGCATTTCTGCTTTCCTCAGTAAGTAAACACTGATCAGCATAACATTATGACCACTAATAGGTGAAGTGAATAACACTGATTATCTCATTACCATGGCACCTGTCAGTGGGTGGGATATATTAGGCAGCAGGTGAATATTTGTTCTCAAAGTTTATGTGTGAGAAGCAGGAAATATTGGTAAGCATAAAGATTTATACGACTTTGACAAGGGCCAAATTGTGATGGCTAGATGACTGGGTCAGAGTGTCTCCAAAACTGCAGCTCTTGCTGGATGGGCCTGATCTGCAGTGGTCAGTACCTATCAAAAGTGGTCCAAGGAAGGAAAAGCTCTGAGCCAGTGACAGGGTCTTGGGCAGCCAAGGCTTACTGATGCACACGGGGAGTGAACGCTGGTTCGTGTGGTCCAATCCAGCGCCAGTGAAGGTCAAATAGCTGAAAACGTTAATGCTGGTTCTAATAAAAAGGTGTCAGAACACACATCACCGTGACCATGCTGACCCCTGTCCACAGCTGAAAGCGTCTACAATGGGCAAGTAAGCATCACAACTAGACCACGGAGCATTGGAAGAAGGTGGCCTGGTGTGATGAATCACATTTTTCTTTTACATCACGTAAATGGCACCAGGATGCACTATGATAAGAAGGCAAGCTTGCAGAGGCCAATGTTATGCTGGAAAAGCTTGGCTCCTGCTATTCATGTGGATGTTACTTTGACACGTACCACCTACATAAGCATTGTTGCAGACCATGTACACCCTTAAATGGAAACAGTACTTTCTGATAGCAGTGTCCTTTCAGCAGGATAATGTGTCCTGCCACAAAGCAAAAATGCTTCAGGAATGGTTTGATTTGAACACAACAACAAGTTCAAGGTGTTGACTTTGCCTCCAAATTCCCCAGATCGTAATCCAATCGAGCATCTGTGGGCTGTGCTGGATAAACAAGTCAGATCTATGGAGGCCCCACCTTGCAACTTACAGTACTTAAAGGATCTGCTGCTAACGTCATGTTGCCAGATACCACAGCACATCTTCAGAGGTCTAGATGAGTCCATGCCTCGATGGATCAGGGCTGTTTTGGCAGCAAAGGGGGGACCTACACAATATTAGGCAGGTGGTCATAACGTTGGCTGATCGATTTTCTAAAATGTGTTATTTTAAAAGGTATGGTGTTCTGCATACAAATACAAATGAGATGCCATGGTAAAAGTATATTAGCAAATAACATATTGAGTGAATGTTCTTTTCAGGTCACGTCAGCTTAGAAATTCAATAGATTTTCAAACAACAATCTTTTTGTAGGAAAAACAAATTGCTTGTCAAACATCTAATCTCATGTATTGTAGTTCATAGATCATGATTATTGTAAATATCTAAGAAGAACATTTGATTAAGTCTTTCCAAAAGAACCTAAGTAGGAAGGTAATGGAACGAACACCTAAAACACTGAGAGAGAAATGAGAACACACTTAAATGCAAAGGCGTTGTGGAGAGAAATGAGTAGGATTTCTGGCGATGGGAATGCCAGGCCAAATGATGGGGGAGATTCAGGCAACAATACACGGTTATCCTCACATGAGCTCAAAGCACAGCACATGAAGAATGATTGACATTGTTAATATAAAAATGTAGAAACAACACAATATCTGTTCAGAAAATCTGAAATGTATTCAAGTATGAGTGCTCCCAGAATGCATCATTATTAGAATTGGGGATAATGATGTGGAAGTAGATGAGGACGGCTCAACATTTTGGTTGAGAAAGTTCTTCTTTATGAAGCAGATACAGTTAGTAGAATGAGGGTTGTGAGGCAGAGCAAATGTTAGGTCACAACAGTTTCAATTATGGTTCAAAACAAATTTATTTCGTGTTAAGGCAGTCAAATGACAGTCAGACAACAAAAAAAAATTTGAGCATGGTTCATTTTTGAGCATTAGGAAAGTACAGTATAAGGAACTGTGGGATGACCCACCCACTGTGCCTAGTGGACTGTCTGGCTGCCATTTGACATTACCCTTAAGGCGTATTCACACTATTGTAAACCAACAAAAAGGATGCTGAAATAACTACATCATGATGCAGATTTGTTAAAAGTCTGGTTTTGACTGAACTCAGCTTTCACCAGAGATTTCTTTCCAGTCGCTCTTCTTTTACCCTCCAGTCAGCCATCAACATGGACGAAGAGAGACTAATTACAATAAATTGTAACACTTCCATTTCTCAGCAGTTCCACAGCTCGCTGCTGCAGTCAGGCTGGGAAGTGAGAGTTAAGATAAATCCATTTTTTAATGCCAAAAGTTGGACAAGTAAACTCGGAGATCTCCTTGTGCCGGTAAATGGCTCTGGATCAGAACAGAATCCAGTGTGAATATTGTTCGATTACATGAATGGCGCAAATTTGGCAAATTAAAAAGTCAATTTGCTTTCTGTGTCAACATACCATAATAATAAGAGGCTGATTAAGAACAAATGCTTTCAGTAAAGGCCTTCAGTAAATAAGAATATTGATTAGTGCAACTTTCAGTAAATCAGTGACATCATAGAGTCCTGGAGTACAGATGCACATGACTGCAGCAAACCACTGGAGGTCAGAAAAGATTTTCAGGGGGTGTTATGCTACTCTTGACGATATTAAAAGTAAAGTATATATGTGCTTAAAGAGGATCATGCAGCACTGATTTTTGAGATTTTGGCAAAAACATGTCCCACTAAGAAAACTGCTAATTCCATTGAAAATTAATAACATTTTCTTATTTAAAACAACCAGGGTTGATCATCTGAGGGTCTTCTGCACAATTATTTCACATATATTTTCGTATATAGTTGTTTTAAAAATGATAAATAGTATGATTTTTTGACAGTCCAGTACCCACAAAATCCATTGTCCTTAAACAAGAGATTTCATTTCAATTTGATAAAATTGATAAAACTAATATACATTTTTTTTTATGTATATTAGTATATAGGCCAGTTGAAAGAATAATGTGAAAAACTCCTTAAACCTAAAAGCAGTGAATTATCAACATTCACTCTTATTTTCTGATTGCTCAAAATGTGTCCCAGGTTTTTGTCAACACCGTCAGATATTCACTAAAGAGCAATAAAATCAGGCAACTACATAATCAACTATATTCACGAGGACCCCCTTTCCACCCTCCACATGTACAAAATGCAATGGTCAGACAAGCTTCTGTAATTTGCAATTTTTTAAATATGTTTTGTTAACATATTTACTGATGTTACTAATGTCACAACCATAATGTGTCAACACCGTCTCTTTAGTATGGAAAGTACTATTTGAAATTGTAACATAAATACATGCATTTTTTGTAGAGGCCAGAGGTAGCTAGCAACAGAGAAAAAACAAGATGGCTCCCGGATACCATCGTGCATTTCATGTTAATAAGTGTGTTTTTGTCAACACCGTCAGACGTCAACACCTCCAGGTATTATGTCAGATGGTGGTAACACATAGTTTGACTGTGTTGACAAAAACATCTAAATCATCCTCAAAGGAGGCTTAAATACTATTTGTTATCATTATGGATAGAAACATTGCTTGTAATGTTTCATTAACCTCCATTTGTAATATACATCATTTCCCTTTTGTTTCTTCAACACATATTGTAGTTATACAGTTTTCTGTAGTTATTTAGTTTTCTTACTATATGTATCCCCGATGTTTAAAAATATAAATTCTTTTTCTCAAGAAATCTCTCCTAATACACCAAATAAAACTGTTAAAACAATTAAATTCATGGTCACTTTGAAATTGAAAATGTATTTTTTATGCCCCAAATTGTTATTTGGTATACTTGATGAATGTTGCATGATGTATACGTTTTTACATGTGAAATAGTACAAAAAATGAACAAAAGTTAATATTTAACATTTAACATTCAGCATATATATGTACCTATGGTGTAGACACAATGATTTTAAAGCTCTAAATCATTATAAGACTAAATAAAAAGGATTAACTGGACTTTTATTTTGTCTGACGGTGTTGACAAAAACTTATAGTAAAGACAGGCAAAACAGATATTTTATTACAAAATCTAGCAATATTTCGGTGCAACCCAAAATATTGCTAGATTGGTGAGATCTTGTACGACAAACACAAAAGTTTAGATGTTATAATATTACATTTTATTTATTTTTATTTATTTTTTTATTTTGTAAAAAAAACAACAAAACAAAGGGCAACACTAATCTAGTATCTATAGCTTTAGGTGTAGTGTACCAATGACTTGGGCCTATGGACGATTCATAACATTAGCAGAACAAGAATGGATCCTTTTATTTAATCACATGTAAATGTTTCAACGTATAAAATGTGTTTAGAAAAATATAAAATAAGCAAACATTTTCTTTGCAATGTAAGCAGCCTTTCATCCATGTGTAATTTGAAGAGTTAAAGCACAGATTGAATGGTTGTTTATGCATATTCGATTATGCATAATACAGTATATTGCTGTTACCCATTTCCCCTGCATCAATATGAATCTTCGCACTGGCTGGACATGTGCCTTCCTGGTCACACAATAAGCCAAAACCAACCAAAATGGCCACTAAGAATATTTCACTTTCACCACATTTGCTTCTCTTTTAACACACATTTAACAAATTTTAGAGAAAGCTTAAACTCTGCCCAGCTGGTCCGTCACTAGCTCAACAGGAAGTAATTAATTAAGTATAAGTCTTGGAAGATGCTTTTATTAGTTAGTAAATCACAGTGGCAAATTAATTTGACATAATCTCAAAGAGATTTAAATATGTCAGTTAGTGGATCATTAAACTGCTTAATACACAAATCATCACAATACAGTACCTATGAGGCTGAATGTGTGGAAAACAATCACAACACATAGATTAGTCTGCAACAGGAAGTCAAATCTAGCTGTTGTGTTTTTGTACTATACATATATTACATGATTATCACCAGTAAGGCTAGCAACACCCGTACATCTATGTGTACAGGAAAACTACATCTCACAGATCCAATTTTGTTCTACGTTACAGTTCTCATCATTCCAGTCGCCATTCCCTGAGGCACGATGCCAGAATTCCACACAGTCCTGGTTCCTCCCGTCATAGCTGTTGGGCTGGTTTTTACCCCAGTACCTGCAGGACAAGGAGAGACATTCACAATGAGAATAAAACCTATCCTTGGGTGAATGAAGTCAACATTGCCCAGAGTTTTTAGTTTGGAAATAAGGGGAGTTTAGTTTCTTACGCTGTGGTCAGTGGTGACCCATCTACCCATTTCCACTGCCCTTCTACTCCTTCATCAGTCAATCCAATCCAGACTTCTTTCTCACTTCCATACAAGCTATTAATGAAGGTCTAGGAGGGAAGACACATAAAACAATGGATGAAATTATATTAATAATGAAGTTGGCAACTAGCTGTCATTCTTTGCAGCACCTTTGACATTATACAATCATTATTACATTGTTAATATAAATTCATTTTGCATTTATCAAAATTAACACATACAGATATAGACAACTGTGCACAAATAAACAAACCATTTTCTCTCTGCTTTTTATGATTGCCAGGTCGGCTCCTTTTTTTTGACAGAAATCTCTGCTCATGTTCCATGTTTTCTTGCTAACAGAAGTGAAGAAGCAGCTGTTTTCAAATTTCTTCCAGCCAGTGGGGCATGTCTTTTCTGAAAATGTAAGGTATTTATTAATAATATCCAAAAAAATTGACAAAAGTGTTTACAGGCACTGAGTAAGAGTACTTTTTAACATGTTGTTTGGCAGTTATCTGTGGTAAGAAAGGTTTGGATTTATTTTTATCAGAAGGCATGGCTAAAGGACCTTTCAGCTTTTTGCAGCATACATTTGACAAGAAGGCCACATGGATTTTCCAGGTAAGTTGAAATATGAAACATGTTTAATATAAGCTTTTTCTCAGGTTTCTTAACTCCTTCTGCTTACCTTGAATTGTTGTGTTCGGTATCTGAACTTTCCCCAGCAACAGGTCTCTCTCAGCAGTCAGGTTGTCGTTTTTCATCTTCAGCAGGTCTCTCTCCACTGTCACATTATTGCAACTACTTTCAAGCTCTCTTTTTTCCTGAACCAAGGAAGTGTAAGAAGCCTGCAACTCTTCGGACGTTTTTAAAATTAGGTTACAAGTGGCCTGCAGAGTGTCTTTTTCTATCGTCAGGTTTTGGTGACTGCTTGCTAGCCGGTCCTTCTCATTGGAAGAGAAGTTGTATCTGTCCTGCAAATGCTCTACCTTCTTAATCAAGGTGTTGTAATCCATCTGTAATTGCTCTTTTGATCTAGTTACATTATTATATTTGTTATGAAAATCATCCCTTTCTTTGGTGACTGAGTTATAACTGGCCTGTAACTCATTTTTCTGTTTGAACACTTGATCGTATTTTTTTTGTATCAAGTCTTTGGTGGTAGACAAGGCATTGTTATTAGTCTGCAACAGGTCTTTACTGGCTTTTAGCTGTTCATTCTCTTTTCTTAAAGCACCGTTACTGGCCTGTAACTGACTTTGGCTAAGTTGTAGACTGTTTTTTTCCTGAGTCAGTAAATCGTTATTGGCCTGTAGCGAGGTTGTTCTTCTATTTATGCCATCGTATCTGTCCTGTAACTGTTTACGGATGGTCTCAAGATTGTCTTTCTCTTTTTTCACTGTCTTCAGGTTCTCCTGTAGATCCTCTCTCTCCTTACTCACGGTTTTTAGGCTGGTCTGATGGTCTTGCTCAACTTTTCTGGCTGCCGGAGATGAGAGATATAAGTCAATCAGTAAATCAGTGATTTTACCATGACTATGAAGATACTATGAAGATATGACAGAGAAAACAAAGAGGTACTCACAGTGGATGCTCTGACCTATGACCACAGCCAGCAGGACAACACACAGCAGCCCAAGGCAAACTGTAGCAACCCGGAAAGGGCTCTTTCTCAATGCATACACTGAATGACAGCAAGAGTAGATACAATTAAAAGTAACATTCAGCAAAAAAGCTGGCTAGTTATGTAGAAATACACATAATTCATTATTATTTTGAAGGCCTTCAAACAACATATAACACATATCAACATAAATCACAAATATAATCTGCAAAAGCAGAAAACCTTATTTAACTAGTGGCTGTTTGGGTTGGGTGGTAAGGATACAATCTTATCTCAGTACAATCTTTATGGATAAAATCATTTAAATAATTAGAAAAAATAAGAGAAATAGAATTTATTAGAAATAAAATATTTAGAAAGAGGAATGAGGAATGCTACATTGCCATAAACCATTCCTGCTCAGCGATTTGCAACATTTGACCTAAGACAACCAAAAGTATTAACGGGATATACTGTATACCTCAGAATAAACACGCACAAGCAGTTGTGAATTTTGATTTATTGATATATATTGTCATGTAGAAGTAGCTATAACTTAGCTTAGCTTCTTTTGTCTCATACTGCCAGTATTTTAACAACGTCCAGCCAAAATGTCCAGTCGAAACTGTCCTGTTGAATAAAACTGAATTAAAGCTGTAATAATTGATTTTGTGGGGCCTTGTGGGAGCAGCAGAACAAACTGTAGAAACAGCATTGACTGGTTAAACTCACAAGGTTGTTGTGGCAAATGCTAGCAAATAGTTGCATTTTATGTTAATCCAATGTTCACTCTTTTTTTAGCCCTGTTTTGGTTTCCACCAGCTCCTGAGCAAAATATCTGACTCTTTCACAGCTTACAGCTCCACTGTTTTAATCAGATCGTGGCCAACTTTGTCTGCTGTATGGTGCTGAACAAGTAGTGTACAGTTGGTTTATCAGAGCTTTTTAGCTTAAAACTACCTACTTGCTATTACTGCCAGAAACATGACTGATGTTACTCTGTATCTTATTCTGCTCCCCCAAAAAAGTGTCCCAAAAGTGGGTTTTTAGGTAAATACGTTATTTTTTAAGTGTATGGTATGAAAAATACTGTCATTTTTAATTTAAGAATTTCTGTTTGTGAGAGCAGTGAGACTGAACTAAAACAGAACTGAGACAAACTGACGGTTGCAAATACAGCCTATTGCCTCATGGTATATATTGTCACATCAGCCAACCCTTTGTGGAATGAAGGTCTTATTTTCTTACCTGAATACCGAATCTTGCTGCCATCCATTAAAAGTTGCTTATAGCCAATATTACTGTCCATTTCCATGTTTGTCACTGTAGAGCCACGGTACTCGACAGACATCTTTGCATCTATTTCATGAGCTGGCGTCTTACCTGAAAAAAAAAAAAAAAAAACATTAATATCAGCTTTTGAAATAGCTGTGGAGTTTTTCAAAAATATTACTGGAAAATTTCAATGATTTCCTTTTCGTTTATGTTCTTTTAAGTGCCCTTCAGTAAGTTCCCATCTCAAAGATACTGTAGACCCTGTGTAATCTTTAGTGGATTGAAACATCAATTGTCAAGGTGTCAAGCATGTTGTCAAGGTGCTGAAACAGTCTTGGTTTTAGCAAGTTTGTAGTGCAACACTGGATACTAACACCAGATTTAGACTTTCATGAATGTGAGATATAAACAAAGTCAACCTTACCTCAGCTTGTAGAGATGATAACAGTCAGCGAATTGGAAATATAAGAAATTATGTTTTGAATAATCTTGCAGATTGAAACCCACTGCCTGTAACTTGACCCTGCAAAAACATTCAACTTATGCTTCAATATATGCCACACTCCCGTTAAATCATTGGCTTCCTTCACACTTTTGGGCAGTGGAGCAGAAATTGAGGGTTGGTCAGTAGGCGGAGCGACAGCCTCCCTCCTTGCCAATTGCTAGTGAGTTAGGAACACTGTTGGTGAATGGTTTGTAGTGTTATCATAAGCTAAGAAATGTTGAGTTTTCAGTCCTAATCAAAAACACACTTTAAACCAGCCAAGATAAACTCATTAGTGAAATCAGTTTGTGTTTCTGCTGGAAATAAACACCTGCTTTCTCAAAGGTCATGAAGGCAAAGAGCATTACATAGAGGAGCAGCAATTTCCCAACATGAACCACATGTTCACATGAACGGATATGAGGAAGAACAGATTTGACAGAACACAAAAATGCTGAACATGCAGTTTTCATACCATGGAAAACAATTGTGTCGATTGCTCAAGTTTTGGTCCGACATATTAGCTTGTCAATCGTTCAACAACTGTTGCTTATTCAGGTTCCTGTGTGAATATCACATGTGTAGACAGTAGAATGAATCACAACCCGTCCTGAACATACAGAGGGACAATGCTACTCAGCTGCCCCAAAGAATGTAGGTGTGCGAGCACTGCCTGGGCCTCCTCACCTCAACCCACAGAACTCCCTGGACCACAGGATGTGACCCCGACTCCTACTTACATTTATTGAGAAATTAAAAAGTTAAGAAATTAATTTCTAATTTTGAGACAATAGATTTGTTTGCACTCACATGAAAATATTGGTGAATCCAGGTCACTGGAAGAGTTCTGTCAGGAACATTATGTAGGCCTATAGCCTATGTGCTGCTGTGTATGTTGTAAATAGATCTACTTACAGTAGATCTCTTAACGTTGACTGCCTCACTCCATTCACTGCAGTGGCTCGCGTTCTTGTTAAAGTCTATGCCCGCATACGACTCACAAGCAAATCGAGACACTGTGGTTATTATAAGTAGGTAGCTATCTAGTTGGTTTAATGCACTTCACTTTACCTTCAGAATTTCTGAATTAGATTGTCTACTAACATTAGCTAGTTTCTAACTTTTGCCTTAAATCAACACAAAGGTCAATTTTTTGAGGTAAGACGGATTTGAATATTTTGCATTAGGCTACTTTGAAGAATGAAACATTAGCTATGACTGAAGGCATAGACCACGCAAAAATTTTACTTTGTCAGTTTTCTTACTTTGAAAATAGTCTCAAAGCAAGAAAAGTTATCCATATTCTATATATATGTTTGTCACTTCCGAATCAACAGAGAAGGCAGGAGTTGTTTTTTATCCATTCATTTAGGTATGGGGACTAGTACAAGATATATAATGTTAAATGAGATGATGTTTTCAGGAATCCAAGCTGGAACCCAAACAGACACTGGAGACAGACAAAGAAAATTAAAGTAATTTATTGTAGAACAGGTAGGTTAATGAAAAGAAATGGGAGCTGGCTGGGGTTTTGAGTCCACAGTGTGACTTGAAGGAGTGAACTGGCAGGTTTGCTGGCTGGTGACTGGGGCTGATGCTTGGAAGTGAGATCCAGGGGAATTCCTGGCAGAGTGAGCTGGCAGGCAGAGGTGGGAAATCAGAAGACAAAGAATTACATTGTAAGTGGGCCTGGTAATCATACAAGGCGAGAAGAATTACTAGTTTCAAGCAAGTTATGATAAGACATCCTACATATAACTCAATGATCCAACAGGGACTGGATTTAAGCCTCTTACAGGGAAGTAGATTGGTTTTATGCCGGACAGGTGTGCAGATTGGTGATTGCGGGGAGGTAAGGGGAAAAGCGCCAACCAAGGAGAGCCTGAGGTTGCCCCCCACAGCCACTAATTGAGAGGGGAGACAGGGAGAGGACACAGATACACAGGCAAAACACACCAAGCATGCACCCACAGGCAAAAACATGTCCATGCCTTTAATGTTAGTCATTCACAGGCCTAGATGCTGTATGGTAGTAACACATCTGCCTACCTATTTGGCATGTTGATAGTGTATTTGGTTCTGATACAGAATTATCTGGGTCTGTGTGAAATTATGGTCTGCTGTTGTTGTGTGTGGGGATCTGATTTGCTGGCAGTTTTGACTACAAAAATTGTTGTGGTACGTGCCCCATGAGCTGGTGCAAAAGATTTGAATTATCATCATCCACAGACTGCAGACATTAAACAAGCAAGATACTGTAATTGTATTTCAGTTCACTGAACCAGTACTGGGCATCCTTTATGCCCTGGAGAAACAGGCACTAACAGTGTCTTGACAAGGCTGGGCTCAACTGTTACACTCTTCTTTTATCTCATCCGAGCAGCTGTGTGTTTTCAAGATCAGCTGATATCTCAAGAAGAGCCTCTGAGAGAGAATTGTGAACACACAGGAATAACCACTCCATACAGAAAGCGCTGTTCACCCAGAGATAAACACTGTTTGGTTCATTTGAATGTTTCACTGATCAGTAAAGGCTCTAAATAGAAAGCCTCCAGGCCGGCTTTATTACTATGAGCAAAGCCGTGCAAATGTGAGAATTGCTTTTAAAGTATTCACTTCTTTAACAGGGCTCTCCACTAATTTTGAATATGAAGTTAATTTTACCCATCATGAAGATTACTGTACTCCTCAGCTTGTGGAAACAGTTGTGTAACGGTTTCCATGGTTCTGGCCTGTGTTACTGTACTAACAACAGGGTTTGAAGGAAGTGAGCATTAACCCACACAAAGATATATATATATATATATGAAATATTTTAAAATTTTGATTTCATGTACATAATTCCAGTAATTGAGATGTGAGAAACATGTTACACAGATTCCACAGAGAATTTTTTCTCAAAAGAAATACTTTTTTTAAATGTTTTATCACATGTCCTTTGTGGAGGACATCGGGTCTCAATTGACACAAAAAATACATTAAAAGCCATAAATCTGGCATTGATAAGAACTCATTTGCTATGCATTTCTATTACATGTGTCTAATTTAAAACATTATAAACATTTCATAATGGACAATTAATATTTAATTTTAAGAAACCTTTTTTTAACTAAAAATATTACAACTTAAAACATATCCATCCATCCATCCATCCATCGTCAACCACTTATCCTGCGTACATGGTCATGGGGGCTGGAGCCAATCCCAGCTGACATCGGGCGAAAGGCGGGGTACACCCTGGACAGGTCGTCAGTCCATCGCAGGACTTAAAACATATTACAACTTAAAAAATATTACTACCTAAAAAATATTACTACTTAAAAAATATTACTACTTAAAAAAACATTTTGCTCAATGGTTGAAGATCTGAAACTAAGGATGAGTCAGTACACGGACAAACAGACAATGTGATAAACACATCATGCACGGTAAATCAGAAGGCAATTCTTGGTCTTTGAGACACAAACACACATGTTGCATCTGCAAATACTGCCTGCATCAATCAGTGCTCTATTCCTTAAAAATATGGCGTTTACCGTCCCTTACAAAGGACATGGACTTAAGAGTGCATTTTAAAAGGCTTAAATTTAACATACACCTCTTAAATCTTAGTAATAAATAAAGTTCAGGCTTTCATACATAAAAAACAAAAGTATTATCAACAATACAGACCTGATATTTGTATAAATTTGATCAATTGCCTAGAACATAACATTTGCTATGTTGGCCACACCCTTATTTGTCTGACATCACTAGAAAGCCCAGGTGTTTGAAAAATAGTCCTCAGCGCAATGTCTCCCACAGAGGACAAATTTGATTTGCTGGGGGCGGCTGAGAGGTCTAAAGAGAGACCTCTGCTGCTTTGAGTTCCCCAACTTTATAGAAATGCAATGCTATATACAATCTTTATTTAGTCAGGTAATGTCATTGAGATGAAGATCTCTTTTTTTACAAGAGAGACGAGAGTACTGCACAAAGAAAAACAACAAACATAGCCAGACACAACAAAAGCAGACAAATACATTGCTGAAGTACCCCTTTAATATCTGCCATACACATACACTGTATATTGATATATTTATTCATATTACATTGTGTCATATATGCTTATTGGGTTAGATTATGGGAAAGTGAATACCGAGTTTACATAATAACTGAAATATAATTAAAATTTACTCAAACGAAATGTGTTGCTTTTCTCACAAACCCACTGGACTTTGAACTTTTGTTAGTACATATTTCAAATGAAACTTGCTCATACCTTGTATGGGTACCTTGTACACGTTGTATATACCTTGTATACCATACTTGTCCCCATACCTAATTAACCAAAAATGGGGTGTCTTTGCCTGAACCCTATGTTCGTGTTCTGATGTAGTAGCATCTCACAGCTTCCACAGCTACCAAGTAATGATTGATGTCTACACATCTACCAAGGAATGGATCATTTGAGCCTTTGCTGATCCACCACCTCTACAATTGAGCTTTAGGTAACTAAAACGACTTAGTTAAAGGTAAGAATAATTGTTGTCATGGTAAGAAACCATAGTTGACTGTTGGTGGGGGGAAAAAGGTTGCTTCTCCGGAAAGCATTTGAAAAAAGATTTCTGGTGCAGAGTCTTGAAAATTCACTTCAGTTAAGTCGTCCGCACTGTTGCTAAAATCAATGTTGTCCATTGGAAGTGATCTTGCCATTTTGCACATTGAGGCTGTAGTGGTGATGGCGGACCCTGTAGAAAATTTGTTCCAGTAAGGAACATCTCGCACCAGGTGTGACGTACCCGTTGGTGACCCCCACGCAGCGGAAGCCCAGACGCTGGTAAAGCTGGTGAGCAGCGTGCGTGTACGCTGTGGTTCCCAGGACAACGGAGGAGTATCTGTGACTGACAGCAAACTCCAGAACCTTTCGTCCCAGTGCCACGCCGACTCCACAACGGCGACAGCTACGGTCAACGGACATCCGCAGCAACTCAACAGCACCTCCTGACTTGAGCAGGCCGCCTGCTGCTACGACACCTACTACTTTGCCTTCCAGCACTGCTACCCACAGACAGGAATCTGAGATGGAGTGCAAGGACATGAACATGAACATGATGAATAAAGGATGTGAAAATTGCATTGACAAACGAAAAATTAGTTAATTAGTTTAAATCAGTTTAAAACATAATTCATCCACGCTGGGAGAGGTTTCACAGTAACAAGAGTTGACCTCCATAATTAACCTGATCTTATTATTACAGTCACTCAAAGAATATGCATAACATCGTTTTCAGTGGCGGATTAATTCACTGACTTTATTACACGCATCCTAGTGTCAAGGAAAACCTGTGCATCAATAAGTCTCTCAATAACTGAATGATGATGCTGCTAGATGTTTTTATTTTGGTTGGTCTAATAGACACAGACACTGCTTTGTAGCATCTGGACAGCAAGTATTCCTAGTAAGCTTGTGGATTTTATCAGCTATACGACTGCTTATTTTCTGGCCTGTTTTAATGTCTTTATTAATCATCCAATTCGTCAGATCCAATTTATTGTTTTTTTACTTACTATTTTCAAATATTTCTTAATGTCAGACATTAAATGGCTGTGTGCGACTGTGAAACACTACAGACATTAAAGGAAATGAGTCCAGGGCATTATCTTCCTGACCAAGTCTGTTCTCCCAATAAACCAAAGAAAAATCAAACTCAAGCCACCTTCTTCTTTTCAGCAGCAGGTATGGTATTATTTTCCCACGTCAATGTATTTCAAGACCATAAAAATGTGAATAAATAGAAATAAAAATAGATATAATACTTAAAAGTATTGTTAGAATACCAATACTAAGAAACATGATCTGAAACATGAAACTATGGCCCTGAAAATATGTTGCTTGTATGCTTTATTAAACATTTATAAGAACTTCTTCATTTTGGGCTCACACTGTACCGGAGGTCTGGTTGTGCAGGATTTGAAAACACTCAATTCCCTTTTGTTCAGAAAACTTATGAATTGCTATGATTAATCTGGAATAAAAGTAGAATCATTACTCATTCCTTTTTTTTCACTGTAAATCAGAAATGGCAGGAGCATTTAATTTTTCAGGAAATACTACACGTGGAATTTATATTATAATGTATACCTGAGGAGTTCATGTAAAACCCTTCGATGTCCCCCATGTCTCTGCTCATGGCGTGCTCCAGGTAACCATGGATCACACGTCTGCTGTAGAAATAGCGTCCGCATAGCACAATTGCAGGGAGGAGTCCTATCAGCCACCAACACGAGGTAATGACTAAACATACAACTGCCGGAGGAAAGATATGAACAGATGTGTGAATGTAAAGACAATATAAAGTTATTGTACTTTTAACCAGCGGTGGAAAGTAACTGAGTAAATTTATTAAAACACTGTACTTGAGTACTTGAGTTTTTGTTTCATGCTATTTAATACTTCTACTTCAGATGGAAATACTGGTCTTTTTTACAACAATAAAATACACATTGCTAAATATTAAACCAGTGACACTCAACTTGTGTGGCTTTTTGTCTAGTTGGGGCCCCACACTAATCATCTCAGATGGTGTCACTGAACAGTTAATTTTTTTCTTCTTTCCTACACCATTAATCATCTCACAAGCCTTTGAAGGGGATTGATAACTACTTTTATTGATAACTACAGTACTTTTACTTTTGATACTACAATTTGCTGAAAATACTTACTTAGAAAGTAATTTCTTTAATTAAGCAGGATTTTGTTTCAAGGCCATTTACTTGAAATTGAGTCTTTTTACATTATTGTACTGGTACTTTGTTCAAGTTCCAGCACTACTTTTAACTTTCTCGATGGCTACAGAACAAAGTTGAGGCCTACAGAGTTCTTCACATTAGGAACACATGCGGACAAAACAAATGAACGCAAAAAACCTCATTGTAAAATAAATCACAGTAACACAAGACATAAAACACAAGAACTAATAAACCACAAAAGAAAAAAACTGCCTGTTTTTTAAGCAATCAACCAACTTTGACGCAAAGAGTCTATAAAAATAATCTCATAATAGATGTGTCTTAGAAATAAAATACCGTCTCCTGGTCTTTCCAAAGTCTCAGTGCTCCCTATCTGTGTGCTTGCAATTACCACTTTACAAATGCTGCAGAAACAATCACAGAAATATGTCACTTATGTAGTAATCTCACCTGTCATAGCAGTATAGAGCAGGAGACTCTCAGGGTGATGTATCAAGCCTCTGAAGGCGGTGTCTGGAACCATCTCCATCAGCCCTTCATAAAAGATTCTCTGTACCTCCGGTTTGTCTACTGGCTCAAACTCACGCACAGCTATAGTTTGAAGTCTATTTTCAGCTTTTAGACCTTTTTCATATTTTTGGACATCCCTTTTCTGTTGTTTTTCCTCCATTTGAAAATTTAAAAAAATAGGATACAGAAGATGCAAGTATACAACTGGTAACTAAGGTTCAACCGCTGACAACTTCTTTCAGCAACAATGCTTGCTTGTGTTGTCTGTCAAGTTTTTCTATACTATCTCTTTGTTTTGTAAATGAGGGCCCCTAAAGATAAGATCCCCAGCACATGTTTGGACACACACCCTCTTATCACTTCCCATATGTGAAATGATCTCTGTGGAAGGGACACAAAGCAGGTGGCAGTTAATAGCTCTCAGGCAAGTTAACAAGAAAACCCTCTGATTTTACACATCAAAGTCATTTTATATGTCTTGGGGAGTACAATGAAAAACTTTTTTCCTCTTAGACCTTTCTTGTTTTTTAATGTATCCAGACAGTCTTCCAGCACTCATTCATGGCTGAAGCCTTGAAATTGTCCAGACCAACAAATACTTGTTTGGAACGGTGTGTGGAACAGATTGAGATTTAGTGAAAATACAGATGTCATTGTGAAAAAGATTCATCAGCTTCTCTATTGACTATGGAACCTATACCTTTGGAGTAGATGAGGGAAAATTGATGTTTAAGTTTTATTGAAGGCATTTTTACTTTTACATATATTTGCTGGTTTACATCCCTTTGTCAAAACAACTGACCGCAAAGCATCGCCGCCTCTAAAAGTATTAAAAAACACAAAGATCCTTCTGAAAAAAGTCCTCAGAAAACCATTTAAGATTATCAATAACCCCACAAATGGAAGGGTGACTTTTATTAATCCTGGTACACAAGGATTTTTCTTCTTTATGTTTTCTTTAAAGTTAAAAGTAGTGTTCCACACTGTTCCGTGCTAATAATCTGCCTTTTTAGCACCTCCCAGCCAAACCATCCATCCATTTCACCTGAACCTGAACATATGGTTTAGGGAATTTTTTAATTCCACCACTTTACTACAAGTTACTTAAGAATTACGCAGGCAAATAGATTGAAGCAGCCTAAAGAACATACACAAGCACCAGCTGTTTATTTGTTAGCATGAGGCTTAAGATTGAGCCACAAAGACACTGTGAATACAGTAGAACTACAAAGGGATTTAGCTCACGTAATGCATTCATTTTATCATAATTTTCACAGAAAGAATATAGACTGGGCTCATGGCAGAAGGTGAGGGGCTGGAGGACGCAGGGAAACTGGTGGGGAGTGACTCACTTCTAGTCCGAGAACTCTCAAAAGGCCTGTTGAGAGCAAAACGAATCAGTGTATATCAGAACAAGACCAAGCATGCCAAATGTGACATGAGGGTGGGATCAGTTGGATTCTATATTTAACTGCGATGACGCCTTTTGGTTGTGATGCATGTGAAATGACAGTGACACAAATGTCTGGAAAGAGGCAGGAAAAAAAGGCTAGGAAACGAGTGAGAGACAAACATCGGAAGGGCCGTCAAACTTTGACAACAGAAGCACTTTTCTAGGATCATTACCTGTAAGTATCTCAGTGTGATCATTCCTTCGGTCTGACAGGCATTTTCACGAAAAACTTAGAAGAGACGTTCCTGTCTCCTTTTCATGTAAATGGGTAACAGCACTGTCTGCTTTAGAAAGACCTTGTCAGCACATCTTAATGAACCCTTTCCTACGCAGATAAAGCCAAAAAAAAAGATAATTATATAATTCAAGCAAAAACAATAAACACAAAGTTACACTAAAACTCTCTAATGAGACAAACCTGAAACAGTTTTTTTTTTTAATTGCTCAAAAAATACAGAAGCATAAACACAAATACACCCACACACACATTCTTCATCTTCATCATTCCCTTTTTACACACTAGGAGCACATGCTGCCTCCCACTTACACTTTTCCTATGATATGATTAGTATCATCTTAGCATCACAGTTACTGCAATTTATTTAACCCCCTTGATCTAAACTGCTCTCTCCTTAGCATTTATGCAAATACAACTACAATAAAAAGTGGTAGGGGAGACCGGGTATGGTTGTAACATGGGGAGAGTTGTAACAACACCAATTCCACCAAATAGAGATAAGATAGGAGTTATGTGATCATTTCAGTATTTACCTACTTCATCCCCAATCAGGTCTGGAAAAAGGCATATTCAGAATATAAAGAGAAAAAATTGATTTTGACGTAAGAAAGTAAATTTTTTGACCAAGACTATTTTTACTATCTATACTATTGCAGATAGAATTGTTTGATTTATATTAGATTGAAATATAGTTTCTCACGCAACATGTGATGCATTTTTTCCTTTCTAATTTCAAATCACTATGGTAATACAGTTAGCTAAACATTGGCTGACAGGGGTGGGGTGGGTTGTGACACTTCTTAAAAAAGTGATACACAGTGTGTATTGTAGTGTTACAACCTACCTCGCTATTGGGGTAGGTTGTAACAAAGGAACACAATGCATTTGACATCAACTCACGAAGTCTGTGATATTCTTGTAGAGGATTGAATTGGTGCCATTTGTAGTGAACAAATGTGGGTATTTTGTATAAAAATTTCAGAACTCTAGCTAAAAAATTCAGTGAGCCATAGTTACTGAAGCAAAAAGTGTTATGACAGAGAATGTCTCAGTTATGAGGAGAATGAAAATATTGCCCAGACAAAAGTAAACTATATAAATTATCTTGTACTGTAAATTATCTAATTATTTATTCTACTTTGTATTGATCCCCGAATTGCATAATTAGCTAATAGATAATAGACAGGTTTCTTGTGTACAAACACTACTGGATGCGCACGCAAAAACACTTTGGTAGCCGGTCAGAAGACGGTAGTCAATCACTGTAATCAACGTAGATTAGGCATAGTTTGTAAATTCTTGTTGACTTAATAATAAACTGTCATTTCAGACATTCATTTGTCATTTGTTTGTGTTTCATTTCATATATTAATATAACATGCACAACCGTGCTGCAGGTCAGCGAAACTGGACATAATGTTGTTTAAGTCAGCTGCTAGCCAAAAAGCTAAAGGAATAACAAACTTTGCTGTGTTACACTCAGAGATGCTAAGAACATGGTCTTCCGTAAACTTGTGAGACCAGCAAAAAAGCTTTCAACCACAAACCATTTTGTATTGAAGCATCTGCTAAGAAACATGAAACTTAGTCTGTAGAAAGAAACTCTGGCAGTTAACGTCACTGCCAGTGAAGCATCCACTCAGCAGGAGAGAGTGGCGTCGATCAACGTATTGTGTTTTGTAAAGGCACTTAATACTTCTCTTATAAATGCATGTGCAAAACAGTATCGTTAGTTCAAAAGTTGAGACGCTTGCTTGATTTTTTTTCTCAGACAGTGGTGTTAAAAAACGTTATGCTTCGTAAAAATCATACACATTGATGCTTTTAGGAATACACGATTCGTTTAAAAAGTCGGGAGAGACTTGCTTTTTTTTTTCTATTTCAGCCAGCGACATTAAGAAATGTTATGTACTGTAAAAATCATACTCACTGATGCTGTTATGAATACGCGATCAGCTAAAATGTTGGGAGGGACCTGCTTTCTTTTTTATTATTTTTAAATAGCCTATATCCATAACCTATACGACACAGAGCATCCTCTGGTCTGAGAGGCTGCAGTGTTTTCATTTCGGCTGGTTGTTGACTTCTCAGGTTAATTATTGTTAAAGTGTGGTAAGTAAAGTAGATAATTTCTAAAATGCACTGCTGAACAGGTTTTCCGTCACTTTTTGGGTTGCAATGGGTTGCAGTGGTTGAAAGTCATTGTAATGGAACAAGTAACTTGTCTATTTACTTTTAATACCCAGTAATAAGTAAAGTAATATTAAAACTTTTTAAATGAGTAATAAGTAAAAAGTAAGTCATCACAATTTCTGAGTAATTTGCCCAACGCTGCTTCTGGTTATGCTGTATTAACTGATGTGCCGCGAAGACAGAGTGCTGCTTTCTGCCCCCTAGGTGCGTTCACATCTTGGTGATGACACAGAAACCCGTCTTTTGGCCTCGGGAGAGCATTGTTAAATGTATAGGTTTGACATTTTGGGAAGTACGCTTACTCACTTTCTTTGGCTTTGGTGAGCTTAGCTTAAAGACTGGAAATAAGGGGGAACAGCTAGCTTGACTTTCTTCAAAGTCCAAGAAGTTCGGGATTCTTTTTCTTCTTGTTTGAGTTTAGATTAAACAAATGAGATCCAATGTGTTGATTATTAGATTTTACGAGATAAGCACATTTTTCAACAGCTGTGACAGTGGGATCAATCTTCTCATGTGATTCTAGGCAAGAAGGGTGTCAAATGATTCTTTGAAAGCCACACCGAAATGTTTTACAGCTGGGCATGCGATCAGTGAGGTCGTTCAAGCCATCACCTGATGTCTAAACTTAAATTGACGTTACTGGTTGCATCTGCGATTCAGAGAGTTTCCTGTCAGTTAGTCGTTGCGTAATCTTTTGGTCCTTGCCAGAGAAAATCTTTGTTTTTCATCATCTGTGTCTCTTTATTCCAAGGTCAGACTGACAGAAGATTCCCCAGAGGAGAGTTTCCTTTCAATCTGTGATGTCATTTAAGCCTCTGACTGATTTGCCACACTTTGATCATCCATATCTGGTGATCCCCGAGACACATTTATGTTTTTTCTCATTTGTTTATCCTAGCTTTGCACTGGCATGAGTGATGTTTTTAACCTAATTTAGCTGGTGACTCAGTAAACTCAAAAGGCACCCACAGTTAAAGCCATTATACCAGACACATCTTCTTTATGCATTAAAATGTGAGCCATGCACACTGTGCACTGCAATCCAAAAAGCCTTCCCACAGAGGATGTAAATACACCATAATTTATATGACTAAGCTACCCACACCTTTGCAAGAGAACATTAAACATT